TGTATGTAGTTCTCTCAGTGTGGTAGATCTCTCATCTCCTGCCATGCCTTATTAGACTGATAGGAGGAACGGAATGAGAGTAAGACAGAGCTAATAATATATCACACTGCCCTGCGCAGGAATCTCTGGTTGTATGAGAAAGAATTTCACAGTGAAGAAGATATATTAGATCAAGATGCATTCTTAAATACTCAGAATTTTGGCTTGGATTACATTTCATTACTAGTCTAGCTAGTTCACATTAGGTCAGTATTTAGTACATAACACTGACACTGCCAAGATGAGTTGACTGATAACTATGATCACCCATACAGGAGAAGCTGACAGTCACAGTGCAGAGAAGTGCTTTTGAAGAACCAAAAACCTATTAAATTTCATTAAACTGTGTTTGTCTATTAATATTAATTAATCCCTTATAAATTATTTATGTGGGTTTACTGTTTCTTATGTTAGTAAATGATTTATGAAATCTGTAAAGAAATAACTTTGTTTTAGTTGGTAGCCTCACACATTGGCTCAGTGGCAAACATCTGCCCTTGAGCAAGGCGCTGCCCTGTAGGTATATTTGGGAGGTATATCCAAAAAAGCCAGCTTTTAGAAACCATGTTTCAGCAGGCAAAAGATGTTATCTGTCTATGTTTTTCTGACCCCAAAACATCTTAGCTCGTCTTCCAACACCATAAAACAGTCAAGGTTATGGCACTTTACCCTCAGTACCAAGTCATTGTCATTTAGAGGCACTTTATTATATTAGCCTTGAGTATACACCACAAGCTGTTGGCCATGTGAACCTCAGGTACTTTAAAACTGGCTTTAACTAGTTGAGACTGAAAACCTTCCACAGATGCCTCAGTTTACTCAGTCAATAAGGCCACAGTGGGAGGAAAAGGTATGTATTTCAGTCAGGTCAGGACCATTTTGGATGTGATGTACCATATGGATGTGACAAAGTTACACTGACATTTTGGCTACAGTTTTACCAAATCCAAACTGTTTACTCCTCCAGTGTCCACTTTTTTTTATATTCCAACCATTAAACAATACCATGAGTGCTACTCCTCAAACATAGAACTGACAGACCTTTATGTAAAACTAATCTATTTTCTGCAATGTTACTATTGAAAATGTCTAAAGAAGGTATAGTGCAGTACTTTTTTTAAATCAAGTTTGGTATTACCTACTGAGAGAAGATTTTTTTGTTTAAGAGCGCTGTTCTCTGCCAAGTTCTCACTTTTTATCAACGAGGGCTCCACCACTCGAACATTGTACATTGTAGATAATTTTGATGCTGATTTAATTTTAAGACATGATCATTTATTCATACTTTTCAGCTTTTCAGAAATGGAATTCATTAAGAAGGACCTACTTTATCCTTGATTGCATCACAGTATCATTTCAAAGAATAATAGAAAAAGAAATGAAAATTATACAGCTCTCATACCTTTAGAAATGGGACAGATTTGGATCTTGCTAAATCAGTGAAAATGTGGAGAAATTCATTGAAATCATAAGGATAATACTTTTGATCATGCATTATTTATAAATAAGGCATAAACCTGGTTTACCACTATTAAATTTGCATGAGAGAAATGAAACAATTCAGTGATTTGTGATTTTATACTTTTTTTATACTCAGTTACATAACGATGCTGGTGAGCACAAACACCAATACTGCTAATTAGCAATAAATAAATAAAATAATTCTAGGACTACTGTTGAAAAGTCTTTTTTGCTTAGAAAGGTTCCAAACTGAGTGAAATGTCCCAGAAGTATTAAAGGGGCAGCCATGATAAGAGCTGGTCAGATTCACAAAATGCTGAGGAAAGGAGCTTCAATGCTTCCTATCTTATCATCTATAGCATAGTATACACTGAACCTTCCTCTATGAAAGGAAAGGAGATAATGCTGTCCCACAATTCTTTGCAGCAAGGTCAAGGAAAGGTGGCTAGGAAAGGCGATTTTCTTTTTTCAACCACAGCCTAGAATTTCACTCACCTCATAAAACAGGAGCACAAACTTCCTGATCAGACTTTTGTTAGTCAATTAACCACAGAAAAAGCCTTACTATTTGTCTGATATTTGCGTAAAAAGTCCTCTGAAAGGCTCCAGCACCACAAACATGGCTACAAGGTCATGTTTAGTGACTTGAATTAGCTACGGTGATTATACAGCTAGTGGACTGTGACAGCACCCACCTGTCACTCAGAGCAGCCACTCCCTCAATTATGCATAACTTTAAACCTTAATAAAATTTAAACAAGTGAGTTGTATTAAAATTCACACCCCGTACAGTTGTCATGAAGGGGGAAATTAGCTATACAGACTGAAACCATTTTTTGTACTAGGCTGTAAAACATTTACAACTTATTTCAGCTTTTAAGTTGAACATTTTAACATGGGAGTCTATGGGGGTTGACTCGTTTGTGGAGCCAGCCTCAAGTGGCCATTCGAGGAACTGTAATTAGCAATAGTGTGTTTGCTTCATGTTTCAGCCCCAGTTGCAGCTTGTGAACACCCCACAAACCCTGCCTTTTTGAAGATGCTCCAGTAACAATTTTGCCCTTGTCAAAGTTGCTCAGGTCTTTACACCTGCCCATTTCTCCCGCATTCCAGCATGCCAACTATTGAAACAACTGTTCACTTTCCATCTAGTATATCTCATACCTTGACATGCATTGTTGTTATGATACAATCCATGTTATTTGCTTCATGTAGTCCTGCAGGAGCCACTGCTGTTTACTGTAGCCTGCACACACTGTAGTAGAAACACCTGTACTCCTGCTTATTCATGCAATTATCCAGTCAGCCAATCATGTGTCAACAGTGCAATGCTTAAAATCTTGCAGATACAAATCAGGAGTTTCATTTAGGGGGTTAGGGTTAGGGTTAACCCACATGGGGAAAAAAATTAAATCTCAGTGATTTTGACCGTGGATTGATTGTTGTTGAGATTTTAGTATTTCTGAACTGCTAGAAACACCCTGGTGACTAGATAGTTTACAGGAGAATAGCCAGGCTGGTTTGGTTTCAAGCTTACAGAAAGTCTATGGTAACTCAGATAGCCACTCTTTACAACTGTGCTGAGCAGAAAAGCATCTCAGAATGCACAACATGTTGAACCAGGTGGGCTACAGAAGCTTAGAAGATCACGTCTGGTTCCAATCCTGTCAGCCAAGAACAGACATTTGAGGCTGCAGTGGGCACAGGCTCACCTACACTGGACAGTTGAAGACTGGAAAAATGTAGCCTGGTCTGATGAATCTCAATTTCTGCTGAGGCACATGAGTGGTAGGGTCAGAATTAGGCATCAGCAGCAAGAATCCATGTACCCAACCTGCCTTGGTCAACAGTGCAGGCTACTCGCTATTTTCAGAGTTACAATTAACAACCAACAGTATATGCTGCTGTTCATGTTCTCTCTCTGTCCTCCCTCCCTCTCCTCCCCGACCCCCTCTTTCTCCTCTCAAAACCAACCGGCCGAGGCAGACAGTCGTCCACCCTGAGCCCGGTTCTGTTGGAGGTTTCTTCCTGTTAAAAGGGAGTTTTTCCTCCCCGTTGCCAAGTGCTTGCTTTATGAGATAAAGTATATAATGATTTAGGGCTATACAAATAAAATTTAATTGAATTGAATCTTCTAATGGCTAGTTCCAGCATAATAGTTCTTATCTAGCGGAGCTTTACCATCATATGCTTAAATATGCACAATGCATGTTTAGATACACTCTATGTAACATGCAGATATCCTTAAGTGTAGTACCAAAACCAACCAGCAAAGGGCCCAAACTAAGGATTCCTTCCAGTGCTGATCTAGAATCAGGTCATCCTGTCTAAATCCCATCCTGTAGCATCACAGCATGACATAATACATGTCATACAATCAGTGAATAGTGCCTGATTTATTTGGCCACTTCTGAATTTCTGTGAAGGATTTGGGTCGGTGTTGCAGAGGAGGGTGGGAGGAGAGAATTGCTGACCAAGCCAGTGGTGCTTCATAATCTCAGGTTACAATCTAAGCTAACAGCTGTTTGAGCTACAGCGATGACCTAAATATTATCTGATGCATTCACGGCTAATAGATTTTGTCTCTTGCCACACATACACTGTATGAGTGAACTTGGGATAGATGAACAAACTATCAAAACAAAAACAAATTATGCATGAATAACAGTACTGCGAGAATTTACTAACTATAAATATAAGCATGATATCTGTCTAAAGGTATTTCAGCTTCATTCTCTATTTCAAAGAAAACTTACAACAGTTCACAGAAATACTGTAGAAAATGCTCTGTTTTCCTATGTTAATGTTAAATATGTTAATCCTGCAACCACTTGTTCAGTGTAGAGTTCAGTAAATGTGCAATTTGCTCATCTTTTGTCATGTTCAAATGACTTCCTCTGGGGAGTATCTAAGCAGATTGCCATTCTGAAGTCAGTGGAGTTTATTTGAAGAAACGATTTGGCTACACAGTGCCCTCGTAACCCTTTAGCAACTCATCAACATGTATATTAGATGCACACTCTTGGATGGCACTTAAGCTGCAATCACCATGAGGAGTTAGGACCGTGAAATTGTGCTCTCAAAAATCCCGACAATGTTATATCACTGTTCTCCCTGTGGCTCTGTGTTCAAACTCGTAGCTATTTTTTGCCCCATTATTTTCACAATTCTAATGTTAAAATAGGGAGCTGACCTCTTGCGCCATAATGGTTTGGCTGGTTTTATCAAAGGGGTCCATATGTTAAGGATTATTGCTTCAGTTCTACTTGTACTGTCACATTGACTGACGCTCACCCTAGTTTCTCAAAACTTGAGTTAATTCTTTTGTAATTGTAATTGAAAAAACAACAAATCCCATCATTTTCTTATTCACTGTACAACACAGGCTGGCTGAGACATTTGAAGTCATAATAACAATGGACCATTAATTGCTGGCTCAATCACTACCACATCCAGAATTACTGTAAGCAGAAGTGTTTATTCCATTCACATCACCCACGAGTAATCATTGCATGATACTCTATCACCAGAGTTAATGTGGTTTTGCAATAAATAGTGCTCCACATTTCAGTCTTGGTTTGGAACATTAAGACTAGAAAACACAACTCTTTGCACATCAGTATGTGAAAAAATCCATATTGAATAAAAAATAAAATGTTTGTCATCAAAAAGCTTTAAAATCTCTATAAAATATAGTATAGTTTACATTAAAATACATTCATGGGTTTCATCATACAGCAAAACCAAAATCATCTAAAAATATTGCTGTCAAATGACATCAGATTCTATAAAAGCTTATGTTTAACTTTCTCAGCCAAAATGACATGCCCATTAGTATTTTCCAGTGAAAATTTTAGACATTATTTCATAACATCTTTAATGACCATTTTTTAGGTAGAAGGATGGACACATTTCTGCTGTGGTTGCAGTCTGAAATAATGTGTGTTAATAAGTGTCTTCTGCTCCAACACAGTGTAAAACACTACTGTATTGAATGCCCACAGAGTAACAAAATATAGTCTCGACCTTCCATTAAAAAGCAATAAATATGAAAAATAAGTTATCTAAAAACATTTCAAGTATCAAATCCCCTGGAAATTTACTGTTTGACATCACAAAGGATGCTGAGTATTGTACACTTCTAATATACTGTCAAAGCCAACCTGCATCCTTTCTTCTAACATTGAACAGAATTCAACTGAGGATTCAAAACTGAGCTGACAAGCACAGCCTTCAGTCTTCTGTCCTCTTATAAGAACCCTGCTAGTAATTCTAGGCTCACCCTGAGCTTGACAGATTGTAGAAAAACATTGGAGACTAATCTGTCCAGCATAAAACTCCTGAACTACTAAGGTTAGGGTTAGTGTACATCACATCCTTTGAGGCAATGATATTATTTCCTTTTCCCAGCAGCAAGGTGTCTCTTGGTTACAGCCTCCAGCCGCCTCCTCTCAGCCTCCTCAGCTTTCCTCCTTTCTTCTTTTAGCTCCTTGTACCGCCATTTTGGGATCTGCAGCAGGTGCCCACCTCCATCTTTGGCGCTACTCTTCCTCCTGAGCTTTTCTGGTTCATAAGTCGGTGCGGGTGCTTTGGACACCCTCACTTTAGGGATGCTGAAGCCCGGCCTGACACTGCTCCTCCTAAGCACCATGTGCATGGGCAGGAGACTGGTTCTTCGCAGTTCCAGTGCTTCGTTGTAAGCCACAATACCCAGGCTGGAGCTTCTGTGTCGAGGCACCAGGCTCTGGGCCTGGAGGCTGGCCCGACGGTCAACTGAACTCTTGGCCACTAGTGTGACCCGGGAGTTCTGGAAGAGTTTGAGGTGGCTGTCCACCCGGTCAGGGTTGATGGAGCGGAGCTCCTTGGCGCGCTGCTGGCGGATGAGCTCAGGAACTGCATAGCGCCGTTTGCCCACACTTGGGGGACTGTCAGGACACACCTGAAACCAAATCAACAGTCTCTGAATGGTTGTACTCCTTATAATATCAGTAGTATAATATCAGTAGCACTGCAGTGGTCGAGATAATAACAGAATTCTATTCAATGATCAGTCTCCCCTTTGATTTTATTGCAGTACTGGTAATCTTGCATAAATAACCTGCTTATCGGATAAGGCTGGCGTTTATTATATCCTTTAATTACTATGAACTAATCCCATGAAAAAAAATGATTTTTTGATAAAATAAAAGATAAATTAGTGGCTTTTAATAGCATTATTACCACAATATTACCATTAGTTTATTTGCACATCACTTCATGTAGTGACAGAGCGACTTTATCCTACTACTTGTTAAACACAGTCACAATTTGTACACTGATGCAAAAACACAAAATATCAATTGTTCAGTCAAATTTCATGTCTGTGGAAGGTGATTTCCACATTGTACAAGAATGTTTGGCTCCATTGGAGGATAAGTAAATGAGCTGATATTTCCAACTATGCTGAGTATGTACAGATACCACCAGGAATAATGCAGACGAGAACAGCTTTAAAGATTTTGACCATGAAAGAAGGCTTCCTTATCACAAAGAGCTATACTCATTACTTCACCTTATCTCAGCTTGTGTTTGAAAAAAGCTTGTTGTTAGTGCCTAAGTGATGAACATGGGGATTAGAATACATATTTTCTCATGGTATAGTGTTTAATGCTGTTTAATGAATAACTGGATAATGACCAGTAAGCATGATCTAAAGCTTCATTACTCACCGTATGGCATGCTATTGCAATCAAAGGGCTCCTCATGGCTGTTGTAATAGAAACCATGTGGTCAATCACACCTTCATCTTCAGGGTTGGTGACATTTGCAATGTTGAAGACGTTCCGTACTGTATCAGACAGGCGCTTCAGGCAACCACGGGGCTCCTGGGCTTTGGCCACCAGTGATGCCAGTGGGGGCCATTCTAGACTGGGAGAGCAAGTTTGACATAAATCCACTGGCACTGGAGAGTTCACTTTTCATAATCATAAAGCAAGATGTATACTCTCACATGACTTAAAACTTGCGACTCTTGTTACGACTCTTGTAACTGTTTTTTCTTAATTCCATGTGTCCTAGTTTCTTGTAGTGCATTTTGCTATCTTCGCTGCCACTTGCATTAACCCTCCTTAATCTGCAATAAACATTTTCACATTAAACTTAGATTTATTACACACTTCTCACACTGACTCTGTGATCTTGTGTTGCATGTCTAAATCCCCATGTCCAACCTGAAATGATCTTTTAGATTGTAAGGCATTACCACGTTAGGCATGTTTATCATCATCTTCTTTGGGTATGTTTCGATGTGGAAAGTAGTGTGCTGGGTTGTTGGATTTCAAGGTCAATTCATAGTAGAACTCACAAACCTAATGATCACAGCAAATAGCCAGAAAAGCAAAGTGCAGTGAATCTAAACAAGTGCGGAAACACTGATGAGAAGATAACTAGTCCATAACTATATAGCTAGAATGCAGGTCAGGTTTATTTGTTTTCTACAGCAACTTGGCAGCCAGCTCCTGCTGGGTTGTGAAGGGTCAGAGAAAAGGGCTATGTGCAAAATAACTTTTCTGTGAGTACTGCAGCCCCCTTGAAAACTAGTCAGTAATATTTTGTTTATAAATAGATATCTGCTTCCATTCTCCCTTGGAACACAGTTTTGAAACACTGCAATGCAGTGACGAATGAATGACTCTAATTAAGGGTTATGAGATATTGCACAAACAATGTGATCCAGCCATTAGTTTTACCTGTATGTGTCAGAGTACTGGCGGGGACAGGGCCGTTCCATCAGACGTGTAATCACCCAGGCGGTTTCATAACGGCCCGTAAATAAAGCCCACTCCCTGGCAGTCAAGTTGCGGCCAAAGTCTTTCGCATTCAGGGCAGCCCCTGGTAGACACAACAGAGAGTTAAAAATGTTAATGAAAGAGCATAGCAGAAGGTCGATACACAGAGATGTGGATTAAAAGATAACAAGGTGGAGATAGAAAGAGTTAGATTCAAAAGTTTGTGTCTAAGGCTGCTATCTGTCTCAGTGTGTTCAGGACATCCTAATACAAATCTCACAGGGCCGGTTAATATATGCACATAATGCAAAAATTAACATATTGATAAATCAATCTAAAGGTGTCATTCCCATCATTAACATTAAACTGAAATCCTGTCAATTAAACCCCCTGCCTCTATGATTTGGCATATAATCTCTCCATTAGATCCACTCTTACGACTAAAAAGAGAATACTCGTCTAATAACACAGATCTGAATCACTGCCAAAACTAATTCAAATTGCCCATCTGTCCACCAAATTTCTAAAAATTTGTTCACAGTTTTCTGAGCAGCCCTGATGGCAGAGCAATGGTAGAATAAACAACATTTTGTGGATGTAATCAGTAAAATTTGCATAAAAATCCAGGTAATTTTTAAAATATAGACTTTGACAGTGCAGCATATTAACAGTATGCTTCTGACACTGAAACATTTGCTTCTGCGTATCAAATTTGATAGCTATAGAGTTTTCTACATTTAGTGTAATTATACACATTTGCCTCACCTGCCATCATGAGCGAGCGCACACATTCCACCCGGCCCTGCATGGCAGCTTTCATCAGAGCGGTGAAGCCATGGCAGTTTCTCCTTTCGATGTCCAACCCAGAGTAGTAGTTCAGCAAATAGTTGGTGATTGTTATGTGGCCTTGAAACGGACAGTCATTACTGTAAGTCACCATTCACAATCTATAAGCATAACGCTGTCTTGGAAAAGACCTACTAAATGCTATTTCACACTTGTCCACCATACTGTAGACACACAAGATCTACAAGATCTACAATATGTTTTCATACAACACACTTATCACTTCTGTTGAAGGCTTGAGAACACGAGTGCATTGTTTTTTATACTTGTCTGTGTGTGTTCATCTGTCTCAGCATTAATGCCATACTGTGTGTATTTGTATCTGTGTCTGCATGTGATCAACAGTACTGTGAACCAGCCTGTAAGTGTCTGAGTATCAAAGGCTGTGTTTGACATTTATGTGTGTGCATGGGGAACTTACCTGCTTGGGCAGCAGTGATTAGAGCTGTGTTTCCTTCACTGTCCTGCCAGTTGACATCCAGATACGGACACTGAGACAGCGCTATGACAACATCCACGTAACCTTGGTAACATGCAATCAAAAGTCCTATCTGGGATAGAAAAGTGACAGGACAGAAAGTAGAGATTGAGATAAAATAGAGACTTAAGTTTAGAATCAGCAAAATTGTTCAGGGAAAAACTTGCCAAAGGAGATGAAGTCCAACTGCACTGCTGACATGTAGGAAGTAGTATGAAGAGAAATGTGGTCATGGCAGTGTCAGTAGAAATCCATAAGACCAGGGGACCTTTGTGCATCTTTCAAAACTAATATCCATAAATAAATACGACATGTTATGTTTTCAGACCTGAACCGACTTGAACTCAGTGGAAAAATAAGCTGTCTCTCTGTGTGTATGTGTATGTGTATGTGTTTGTGTGTCTGTGTGTGTGTTCATGCCAGAATAGGCACCCTTTTATGTGTGTGTGGATGAATGTGTAAATGTTAGTCTCTGAGTGTGAGTTTATTTGAGTTTTGGAGTACGTGAGTCGTGGAAAACGAAAAGTTGTAAAAGTTGAGTACTTTCCAGAAGGCGCAAACCTCATCAGCCAAGACAAACACGTTTACCACCAGAGAGAGAAGAGAGATAGGGGGGAATTTAAGAACACACAGTTCTCAATTAACATATCATCTACAGTGTATTTAAACATTAATACATGAAAGACTTCTGTTGGAAAGACATGTCTTTCACTAGATGGGTCAGAGCATAAGTAGATAAATTTGGAAATGTTTTTTCACAAATTAATAAATATATGTGAATAATGTAATGAGAATGAATGTGACGGTGTACAAAGTGTACAAAACTTACAAAGCTGTAGCTTAAGTTGCAACAAAACCAAACAAACAATGTCTTGATCATAACGAATAATTGATTAATTATTAATTGGCAAGCCAGCCAACCCTACTGGGACTCTTTGTTAGTGCTTTATTAAAACCAGGCGTGCTGGAAATGTCAACCAGTCAGACCTCCTCCATGTCAGAACAAACATAGACAGTGCATGCATCAGTTGCAAGACAAATATTTATGTTTTCTGCTCAGATTAATCAAGAAAGGCTGTAGGCATTTTCATTTTGAGCTTGTATTTTCAATAACAGGAACATTTCTCACTGCGCTTTTACCTCTTCATATTACTTGAAGAGGAAAATAGAATAGGGTCAAGTTGACGACAAACATCAGTTCAAAGGCAGCATAATGTCTTACTGTAGCTGCGGGTCAAAGGGTGTGTCATACTGTAAAACACATGGTGATAGAAACACAATCAGTATCAACAATCACCTCCCAGTTTCTGTGAAAATCCAATTGTCCTAACAGCAGGACAAGTCAATAAAGACACCATAGTGTATTGAACTTATTTGTGTATATTTGACACCATGTGGATATGAGAATCTTGTCATGAAGAGACTTTGCTCGCAAGAAGAATGTATGAAATACAGTGTTTAGGTAAGTTGTTACCATTTAGTCTTGGTTCTTGGTGGGCACATTGTGTTACTCCAGTAAATTATTCTTTCAAACTCTGGTATGAATGTGATCAAAAGTTATGTCTCACTGACATGAATAAATGGAACTTGGTACAGATAGGACCTGAAGGTTTAAACAAGTTTACAAAGATTCTGCCAACCTCCCCCATATCTACATACTACCCACACACACACACACACACACACACACACACACCCACACACACACACACACACCCACACACACACACACACACCCACACACACACACACACACCCACACACACACACACACACAAGTTATATGTGAATCTCCACATATTGAATATCCGCTCACTAAAGTGAAAATATAAAAACATCATGCGAAATACCTGCAGTTTAGTCAATACAGTAAATCTTATACAAATTTATCAGGTTGCAGATGATTTTAATCAACCCTTAATTTAACCATCATTGAGGCTATGTCAGCATCATGTCACATAAACATGTGACTTCATTTTTCAAGACAATGAAAAATTCCCAAAACGTGATGGTCTGATAAATCCTATGATTATAGGTTTTTGACAACGTATGGGAGGGATTGCCTGACCACTGTCTTTATTTGTGTTAATCTGTATCAGACTGACAACATAGTTTCTTATTAACATATAGCAACCTAGCTTTTAATTATCTCTGCAGCCCAGGCTCAGTTAAAACAATGCCTTATAGCATTTACAAGACAAGAGATGTTTTTTACCTGTAAGACAAACTGAACTTAAACTTGTGGCTACAACAAGCCAGACCATCAGCCAGCTGAAGATGTAGTCACATCCCAGAGAATTTTAAGGGGAAAAGGTGGAAAGAGGTCCTGTGGAGTAACTGGTGGATCGTCTGGAAGAAGTTCACGTACAATGGCACAGCTCCAAATAGCTCTATCTGGTTAGACACACATGTAGACCTTGTCTGCCTCTCTCTCTCATGTGCACACACACACACACACACACACACATTCTTGGCAACCCTCCAGCCTTGCTGTGGTGTACTTTAGAAGCATGCCCTGCAGCATGTCTGGAGCAATTTCATAGGACAGTGCCCTATTTTCTCTGTGAAACTTTCTCTCACACACACACACACACACACAACCATTTAACTTTTTTTTTTCCCTTTCTTGCGGATACAATTTTTCTACTCAGCACATCCCTATCATAAACACAAGTATATATTTTACATATCCATTGTGCTCTGATTTTGATGCATTTTACTAGCGGTTACTGGCAATGTTGGAGTTTGAAGAATCTGACAGAAGGGCACCAGTGAAATGCACACAGCAAAGGAATCGAGAAAAAGGCAATTGTGCTACACAATATTACTCACTTAATGACTAACGTGAGAGCTAAAGGGATAAAAATAACAATACAATCTGGCAGTTTAATAACCCTAAAACAAGCAGGAGAGCTACTACCAAGTGGATGAGTGTGTATGAAGTGCATGTGTGTGTAAAAAAGATAGAGATACAGTAAAATGTAAAGAGAGACTTTCAGCATGACAGAGATTCAAATCCTCACTAACAGTTTTCAGGGTAATAATGTATTTTGTATGTAGACCAAATGAAGATGCAGACTAGCCTCAAATGTAACACATGTAAGTAGAAATGTCTTTATTTTTTGCATTCGTATTGCCTATAAATGTGGATACAAAGCATTTTTTTCACATAGCTATATGAAATTAGCAATTAATTTTGTTGTTTGAAAACAGGTGAAAACATCAGGCCAGTTGAAACCTACAGTTATGTCTTTGAAACTACCATACATTTAAGGGAGCCTATGGAGTTTTTGACCTCTGATTGTGCTATAGAGAAGTTTTCTTATGTGTGGGTCTCCATTTTGTTGTGCATGAAGACGCACATGCATTGGCACAACAGTTCCACACTATTTGACTGATCTGCAGTCAGCTGTAATGTGCTATGATATGCAGAAATGTGCACAGAGGAAGAAGACTGCTAGCTCTTAAACTTTAAATGTAAACAATTCAGAATACATGAGAAACATAACTTTTGCTTGTTCACAGGAAAACTTATAAATATTCCCTGATTATAAGATGACCAGTTGTCTCTGATCTCTGCCCGTAAGACTGTTGAAAGTGATATAGAAAATCATGTTTTATGCTACAGATATTTCAATAATTGAATTACAGCACCGACATCATCAGCTGGTGCCAGGAATTTACATCCACAGGAGAACACTAATACAGGAGGTGCTATTTTATTGCTTAAAAATGTAGTTTCTGTAATGACAATTCTGACCATGTACACATGCCATTTGCAATCCAGCTCAGTGGGCTCTGATGCAGTCTGAACAAAGACACATACACACAAGAATTCATGTCAACTTATTATTAGCCCATATAGACACAAACACAGGCAAAGACACCAACACACACAAACACACACACATATCCACACTCACTCAGTAATCTGGGGAATATCCAGAGCTAGAAATAGAAAGGCTTATCAGTGAGAGAGACACCGAGAGAGGGGGAGGGAGACAGACATGTGTGTATTTAAAGTTAATGTAAGTTGCTGTAATAATTGGCTCCAACGAGAATGACACAATACCCACTGTAACCCTTAAAAATCATCATAGACACAGGTTTCCCAGCCAATGTTCAACTATACTATATTGCCAAAAGTATTCACTCACCCATCCAAATAATTGAAATCAGGTGTTCCAATCACTTCCATGGCCACAGGTGTATAAAATCAAGCACCAAGGCATGCAGACTGTTTCTACAAACATTTGTGAAAGAATGGGTCGCTCTCAGGAGCTCAGTGAATTCCAGCGTGATACTGTGATAGGATGCCACCTGTGTAACAAGTCCAGTCATGAAATTTCCTCGCTCCTATATATTCCACAGTCAACTGTCAGTGGTATTATAACAAAGTGGAAGCGATTGGGAACGACAGCAACTCAGCCACGAAGTGGTAGGCCACGTAAAATGACGGAGCAGGGTCAGTGGATGCTGAGGCCCATAGTGCGCAGAGGTTGCCAACTTTCTGCAGAGTCAATCGCTACAGACCTCCAAACTTCATGTGGCCTTCAGATTAGCTGAAGAACAGTGCGTAGAGAGCTTCATGGAATGGGTTTCCATGGCCGAGCAGCTGCATTCAAGCCATACATCACCAAGTGCAATGCAAAGCGTCGGATGCAGTGGTGTAAACACGCCACCATTGGACTCTAGAGCAGTGGAGACATGTTCTCTGGAGTGACGAATCGCGCTTCACCATCTGGCGATCTGTTGGACGAGTCTGGGTTTGGCGGTTGCCAGGAGAACGGTACTTATCTGACTGCATTGTGCCAAGTGTAAAGTTTGGTGGAAGGGGGATTATGGTGTGGGGTAGTTTTTCAGGAGCTGGGCTTGGCCCCTTAGTTCCAGTGAAATGAACTCTGAATGCTTCAGCATACCAAGAGATTTTGGACAATTCCATGCTCCCAACTTTGTGGGAACAGTTTGGGGATGGCCCCTTCCTGTTCCAACATGACTGTACACCAGTGCACAAAGCAAGGTCCATAAAGACATGGATGAGAGAGTTTGGTGTGGATGAACTTCACTGGCCTG